GATGCGCTGCAAGACCTGTCCCAGTGGGACCCAGGGGTGGCCCCCTCAGAGTGCCTCCGGTGGGACAGACTGCCAGCCTCACTGCTGGCCTGGGGCTGCTCCCCCGCAGCTGGTTTGCTGTCTGACAGCAGAGACCTCCTTGTTCTCAAGGCTGCTTCGAGTTTCTTTTCAAAAACCAGCTTGGTCTCCTGGCATTTAGACCATGCAAATTTCCACTGCTTGAGTCCCTTGTCACTCTTTAGCTCACAGGCCAGCTCCTTCATCTCCTGGAACCGGGCATCGCTAATGTCCGGGTGCTGCCCCTTGTAACTCTCCAGGCACTTGATCACCCCTGCACAGTGTTCGGCAGAGCTACAGTCCTCCATGCTGATGCAGGCAAGGTGTCGCATCCCTTCCAAGGCCCACTCGTATGCCTGCAGAGAGTGAGAACAAAAAGAAACAGCCAGTCAGAGGGATTGAGGGAAGAATAACCCTAATTTGGTGCCTAAAGCGCAAGACAAGAGAAAGGATCAGTGTGTAGCCACCACAGTTCCTTGAGTGTGAGAGGAGGGGGAGCTGCTGTTGTCAATGGGGCTTAACAATTCAGCAAAACAAACAGATCCTTATGCAGAGGGCTTCAGCTGTGCTGGCTGCTCTGCCACAGCTCCACCTCCCCACCAGGTCCCTGCGATGCTGGGCACGTTTGTCCTCTCTGGTCAGGGGGGCCCAGGGGAAGCTGCTGCCAAGACTGCACGAATTCATACCTCAATACGGCCCTGCTTGGTATAAAACCTGGAACTCGCCCTCCTCCTTCGTCCAGCCATTCTCGCCACTACCACGCAGGATGAGGTCAAGGGGGCATCAATAAGCTGCAAGAATGGGATAACTGTTCCCCATGCCATTTCCCCAGAGCTGATGGCACGCAGTGGCCTGGAGCTCAATCAGTGTGGCTCTGTGGATCACCCCAAGTGCTCTGACCCATCCTTGCAGCAAGTAGGAATCGGAGACTGTGCAAGCCCAGTTGCAGCTTGTGCATCTTCCATGCCTGTTGGCACCTGTGTGGTGTGCTGAGCCCTGCCTACCTGCTTGGCTCTGCTTGCTAGTACACTACATGTTTGTGCTGGTTAGTCAAATACCGAGCTCAGCAGTTTATTTCTAATGCTCCAGGAATGCTGGAAGCAGTTTCACGGGGCTTAACTTTAGCAGTGGTGCATATGCTGGCCTTGCTAAAACATCTCTGCCGCATCAGTCGAACAAGAGGAGCGGGGAAAAATGTGGTCCAATGTGACAGACGCAAGGTAAGAGTGCCTTACCACCCACTGCAGGAAAGGGGCTAATGAACCATGCATGAATAGCTCTCTGTCATTGATAAAAATGAGAGGAAAGGCAAACATCTGAATTAGTCAGGCTCATAAGCCACTACTTTCTCTATAAAGCAGAGATGATGACAAGGTTTAACTATAGATTGAATAAGATGTGACCAGCTGCCATAGGCCTGGCCAGGGAACTTTGTGTTTTCACTGATGAGCAGTAGAGTTGTTAAAAATCAGATGCACAAGACAGGGAAAACATCCCGGACAGGCCTGCCTGGCACCTTCCACCAAATGCCCAAGACCAGCAGATGTGTGGAAACACCACAGGCTGCCCTTGAAGTGAGCCAAACCATCTCTAGCACTTGACCTGTCAGGCCCTGCATACCCGCTATGTTTCTGCAGAGAAGCAGACACAGCATCCCCATCAGGGACATGGTGGTCAAACAGATCAGGTGCCAGGCTCCTCTCTGCTGGTGACAAGAGATAGGAGTGCAGGAGGTGCTTCATTCACATGGTGCCCACCCCCTAGATGGGGATGGCGATGAGAGCTAAGCGCTGCTGTTTGTACGAGAGCTGAATGCCAGCACAAGGAGTGGCCTGCAGACTGAGCAGAGTCACTCCAGGGACAGATGCCATAGGAGCTCCCACAGCTGTCCACATTGCTCTTTTGAGCTGCAGCTGCACGACGTGTATGCAGCCAGCCCCATTACTCATGCAGAGCAAGGAGCTGCTTCAGAAACACCAGCAGCTGCTCAGGCAAAACTCTTCTCGAACAGCCCCACACAACTGCAGCACAGGACAATCAAAAGAGCATCAGGCCCCTCTCCTCCCATCACCCTGCCTAGTGCAGCAGCAGGCCCCTGACCTGCCTCTCTCTTGATCTAGGCTTTATGCTCTAGACTTGCTGGGGGCAGGGAGGGGCACGCAGAGGCAGAGGACACACCAGACCCTGGTGAGAATCTGCATTTATCTGTGATGCAGAGGGTCTTATATTCCCTGGAGGCAGAAGCACATCAAGGTGAGGTGAAACACTGAGTGCAGTGGGGCCCAGCAGACCCACATGGCAGTGACAGATGGCCTATTTTGCTGTGGTTTTTTGAGCTGCTCCCTCCAGCTGTACACAAACCAACACCAGCCCCTTCCAGCTCTGCCCTGAGCAAGGGCCGGCCATCAGTGTGGGCTAAAGGCACATCTCACCTCTCTGGCTGTGGAAGTCAATGGGTGATCCTGACAGAAACCTGCATGCTGGCTCCTTTTCGCTCACTGATGGGAAAAGTTGAGCTCAAAAGGCACACAGGGCTCTGAAAGAGGGTGCTGAGAGCAACGTGCAGGAGAGGCACAGCCAGCAGGCCAGCCTGGCCTTTACACAGCAGCCAGTCAGGAAGACAGCCACCCTCTGAAGGCTTTCTCTGAGGCTGGGGACCTCACTACCATGCACAGATGGGAAAGAGAGATAGAAAGAGATAAAAGAGGCTTCTTTTATTTCTAGGAAATTCCGCAGATCTGCATGGGGCCACAGTGAGGAGGAATCAGAGCTGCAAACCACACAGGGAGGCAGCCCAGTCACCTCTCATCTTCATATGGTACCTGTCTGTTCTTGGCAAGGACTCCAAGGGCTGTGCAGAAATGACTCTAAATCTCAATGACATTTCTTCCATCCCCAGTGCCTGTCGCAGGCCAGTGAATAGCTCAGCTTTGTTCCCTGCACAATGGGAGCAGCCCTCCAGACCCTGCAGCTTGATTGGTAACATGCTAAGTGGCCACCAAGGCTTTCTCCAGTCACATCATCTGCTTCAACTGCCCCTTTTAGCACATGAAATGGCAGCCCTCTCCAGGGACCAAGAGTGCCCTGGCACCCAGGAGGGAACACCATCATGCAGGCAGGGGTATTGCCATCATCTGTGCCCCGGTAAGGTTACAAACCATGCTCAGCCAAGCCAGGATACTGCCCTCCAGCCGTGGGATTTCTGGGGAGCAGGCAGCCCTACAGCTTCTCTGCAAAGCCGCAAGTACTGCTTGTATATAAGAAGAGGCACCTGTGTGCAGGGAAGCTGAATCTTCCTAACCATGTCTGGAATCAGGCAGGAAGGAGCCTGTACCTCAGCTTTTGATCTTTACAGACAAGTTGTTACTGAAACTCTCAATTACAGGATTAGAGACAAACGTGCTTCCTGCATCCACAGGGCTGACCTATCCAGCAGCTGCGTGAGGAGTCAGCAACAGGTTGGTCCTGCCAGGCTGCCCGGGGGAGGCAGGGGCTCTCAGGGACCTGCTGTGTCACAAGGAAGAGCGAGGGACTTCATTAGAGCACAGTGCAACCCTCAAGCCCATCACCCTGTGTTGGTTCCTGCTCATTTCACCATGGGCAAGGCTTGCAGTGCATTGAGGACAGAAGCTCCTGGAGTCTTTTGTCTTTGGCACCACTAAAGTGTCATCTACAAATAGAGGCCAAGAGAAGCTGCTTGGCCGTGGCTCAGGGCACATTGCCAGCACTGCACAGAAAGCCTTCCAGGGGTCCCAGATCCTCACTTGAGCTACCATTCAGCTATTACACCTCCCCAACCCAAACTTCTCACAAACCCACCAGATTCCTCTCATACTCAAGGTCCAGTGATCTCTAAGACACCTTCTGGGTAGCCAAGACAGGAGACAGACACTGTGCATCTGCAAACATATGCCAGAAGGGGCAATTTCAAGGGGGCCTGCCTTTGTCCAAACCTTCTCTTTCATCTCTTCCTGTGGGGAGACAATGACTATAACTGTATTTTTCTTGTCATACAGTAAACTGGGTGTCTGAATAGGCAGAGGTAGGTGGAGTAGGCAAATCACAAATCCTCCAACTTTCTGCAGAAGAAAAATACACCCAGGTGGGTGACTGTCCTGGTTTCGGCTGGGATAGAGTTAATTTTCTTCCTAGTAGCAGGCATAGTGCTGTGTTTTGCATTTAGTAGGAGAAGAATGTTGATAACATGCTGACGTTTTTAGTTGTTGCTAAGTACTGCTTATGCTAGTCAAGGACTTTTCAGCTTCCCATGCTCTGCCAGGTACACAAGAAACTGGGAGGGGGCACAGCCAGAATAGTTGATCCAAACTGACCAAAGGGCTATTCCATACCATAGGACGTCATGCTCAGTATATAAACTAGGGGGGGTTGGCCAGGGAGCAGCGATCGCTGCTCGGGAACTGTCTGGGTATCAGTTGGCGGGTGGTGAGCAATTGCATTGTGCATCACTTGCTTTGTATACTATTATTATTACTATCATTATTATATTGTTATTATTATCATTACTATTTTACTTTATTTCAATTATTAAACTGTTCTTATCTCAACCCAGCAGTGTTTCTCACTCTTACTCCTCCAATTCTCTCCCCCATCCCATTGGGGTAGGGGGAGTGAGCGAGAGGCTGCGTGGTGCTTAGTTGCTGGCTGGGGCTAAACCACGGCAGGGACTAACTCTGCTGTGAGAAGTTTTCCTTCTGAATCCAAAGTGACTGCACAGGGGAGCCAAGATAGGGGTGATGAAAAGCCAAGACTGATGCTGATGGGAGCAACAATACAGGCAGGGATGCAATACAGCTGTGGGTATGAAGACTGAAGCACAGCCACAAGACAGACTAAGTCCCCCATCCTTTTGCAGCAATGTCCCAGGACGGCAAGCCCCCCGCTCCCTTGCTTTCTACAACACAGAGAGAGGGAAGCAACACAACAGCTGGGAATATTGCCAAGGACAGCAAGAAAAAAGAAACCAACATAATCAAACAAGCCCTGATCCAGCTTGTGTGCAGCTCCTGTATGCAAGCTGCGCTCCACTCTGCTGTTTGTTAGTGAGACACAACTAATCACGTGTCTTTGTGGCAAGAAACAACTACACAACTCCCCATTTAACAAGACCTCCTCTCACCACCACTATGTTCACTCTAAGTGCCCTTAACTTCAGTCAGTAGTTTGGAGAGCAAGATGAGGTTGGGTTACAGCAAAGAAGACAGAACTGGTGCAGCCAGAAAAGGTCAAAGCATCACAGGTATCATTGTGAACTGAGCCAAGCACTTCCCAACAGCTATACATGGTGCCACGCAGGCACTGACTCCTGCACCTGCCCTGCTCTGCCAGCAGCTCAAGG